TAACACGATCTACTGTCACTGCACACAGAACACATTAACGTGGTATTCGTCTTCTGCACCTACATTACATGTTGGACATACAAATCAGTGCCAAGCCATCTTCTCTATGTCACTTTCAGTCTTAGCAATCCAGCTCTTATTTTCAAATAAATTTGTCGATACGTTTTAATTAAAGTTAAAATATAAATATATTTCAGGTTTCAGTAAACGTTCAAGAATTGTACATTCTATATTTGAACTATTACATATTGCACATATGCTGGAAGAACACACTTTCAGCAACATTTGTAAATTGATTAAGAAACTCATTGTCTCCTACACCTTCAGACAACCACACCACCCGAAAACCATGTGAACACAGTTTAAATTGTACACCCGACACATGATAACAATAACCACAGTTGTCCAGGTACATCAAACACAGGTGTTCTAGGAGGTTTACATTGTTTTGTGATTCGAATACGTACCTTGTGATGGGGGAAATTTCACATTTATTCTTATTCGATGATTGTAATAATTATGCTTCATTTCTTGGCCAGGGAAACCGGCGGATGCAGTTGCTGGTGTTGACTGTGTGTAACTGGTGCTGTGAAGTGAACTCCATGAATTCATATACACCATGAACTAAGTGTATGTTTTCCTGCTTAATTTTTAAAAGTATACACTGAAACGTTTTGGCGCTCAACGGAAACCCTACAAAGAACACCGTAAGACACACTGACGTTTGATGACAGTAATGTTTTGTGGCATGTATACAGCCGTGAAACGCATCGGTTTCATATTTTCTCGCAATTTATCAAATAGAAGAAATATATTACATCAGAGGTTCAATCATTTCAGAATGAAAACGATCATTTATTGAACTGCCGACTAAATGTATACTCAACTATTGCATTGCAAATTTGATTTAATCTATTTATGTTGTTATTGAAGTATTTAAAATACTTCCTTGTCCTGGTAAAAATGAACAACACAACAAATTAATCAGTACTCAAGTTACTCCTAAAAACCCTGTCACAAACAGTAAAACATATGTGCATTTAACTGAAGCGTGTATGAAATATAGACAAAATATTTGCGAAATAGGTTTAATTGCGAAACCTATATAATCAGGAATCTACAGGAAATATGTGGATAGCGTCAACCAAAAGCTCCGGAGAGCGATGTCCCGAGTCTAGAGCTTATGCAAATGCCAGGTGTTCATATCATCGCATGCAGCTGCTATCGACTAGAGTATATATGACATCCATGTAAAGGCGGTGACTGGCAGTCTGATATTTACAACACCACATGACAACTGATGGGCGGGACTCTCGCCTCGATTACGCACGGAGATTCCGTGCGAGGGAGGAAATTGCGTCTTAATTGTACGTTCTTGTTTGTAAAATGTTATTGGGTACCGATTTCCACGATCGATCTGTCTTAGCTCAAAGAAACATAACTTTAAAGTAAACGAGTGACCACAATAAGGTTAAATTGGGTGATTTCGCCATTTTGAGGAACTATGTATGATTACAATATAAGTGATCAGAGTTATCTCCCATGATTTCATGTCTGAACCTGTTTGGTAAAATTAAATGGTCGCAAACCCCGGGAAACCCTGGATCCTCTGAAACCCTGTAAAGAAGTGTGTTTCGGCACCCTGGACGTGATTTACTGAAGCTTTGCATGTACATTTAGTTATGGTAAGTCACGTGTTTATCTGTTATCAAGTGTACATGTATAGGGATACAACAACCAACATCGGCTGAATAACTGACATCTGTCAGTCACTTTGACAACACGTGCTCGCCGAAAGGAAAATTCACTCTCTCTCTCTCTCTCTCTCTCTCTCTCTCTCTCTCTCTCTCTCTCTCTCTCTCTCTCTCTCTCTCTCTCTCTCTCTCTCTCTCTCTCTCTCTCTCTCTCTCTCTCTCTCTCATTTTGAGTGACATTAAAAAGATATATCACGTTTTAGTGTAATGTGTAGACAAGACATGTAGAGCGGGTACATACAACAGTGATATGTAATGTACAACGGGTAGATACGACGTGGATATGTAATGTCCAAAAATGGATGCAAAACAGCCATGTGATGTAGAACGGCTAGAAGCCATACAGACGATTATGTACAACCGCAGACACGACCGACGAATACACAACGTCGGTGGTCCGTATATAGATCTGATGAAATACAACATATCACCAAGTTCCTCCTGTAGATAAATAATCCGAAGACGAGTGAAGACAAGAAAAGAACTCTTATCAAGAGTCAGACATAAGCAAAATGAAGTGACACAACTCGACACCGCGACTCGCACCGCAAGGAATTTTTTTTTCTTTCGAAGTGTACATCGGTATAACAGTCCTCGATGAAAATGTACCAGTTAAAAACTCCTAAAAATATGCTTTGGTTCAAATGTCCTCCGAAATAAAGTCACCTTTTCAAGTTCTAGATTTACAGAAAAATACTGATCTTTTATCTTTTCATAGTCACACAAAGATCTTATGACATAATGACGTATTGAAATGTTTACATAAAAATCATACGAAATGAGGTCACATAAGTATTGGGTTACAAATGCATGTGCCTTTACATTGAACATAACTTACTGGACTTGCGACTACATTCCCATACAGTCCTGGCTTTTCGAGTTGCGTGTTTGGTGTACATGTGACCACCCCAGACCAGGTACTAATGATGTACCAGGATACATATTTATACCCTGCAATATCGTCAAAGTCGTTTAAAAGATGAAACATCAATTTAAAAAAATTAATCTGTCATTACATGTGATTTCTTCATGTTTTAAAAAAAAATCTTTCATGTCAATCTTGTCAAATAAATAAATGAATCAGATTTGCTACGAAAGGACTTTTTTACCAAGGACTGTCATCGTTCTTCTCAGGTTATACAAAGGGGCGTTTCAGAATTACGCGTACCGTTTTGTCAACCAATAATTTTGTGGCAAATATTCTCTTCTTGTGGGGGCGGTGGGGTAGCCTAATGGTTAAAGCGTTGGCTCGTCACGCCGAAGACCCGGGTTCGAATCCCCACATGGGCACAATGTGTGAAGCCCATTTCTGGTGTCCCCCGCCGTGATGTTGCTGGAATATTGCTAAAAGCGGCGTAAAACCAAACTCAGTCAGTCAGTCTCTTCTTGTGCACAAAGTCACAGTTATAAAACATCCAGAAGCGTCATTTCGATTGGATTATGACCTATACCAGGCGAACCACAAATCAGATGCAACTTAGGAGTTTGTTGTCGTTAAACTGTTCAAGGCGTGACTTGTAACACCACTGACAAACCCGCCAGAGTTACTTCCCCTGATGATTCAACCGCTCAGCCTATTACTGTTCGCCAGGAGAGCCGAGACGCACTTGATGCGTGGAGCCCCGCGTAGCCGACACGCGAATCGGTTGTGACGTTTGTACTGGATTCCTATATTTACCTGTTCCTTGAATAATGGTAAGAACCACATTTACTCTCAATGTTGCCAGGTTACAGCGTCAGGGGTTTGTTTGTATTATAAAATATATATATTACCTATTTTTTAACATTGAGTTTCGTCAGTGACATAACGCCTAGGTATCCGTGTCTGTTAGTTGAACGTTAACCTTTGAAGTGTTGATCTCATTATTTTCTGTTTCTGTCATTTATCATTAACAGTTCTTCTACTCGTCATGAGACTCTCTGAACAAATACCATTTGACGAAAACTAAATAACCAAAGTTTTAAGAACTTTTAAAGGAATAAATGCTGATATACCCGCTTAGACATCTGACGTCATCCCCAAACTGTACCGTTACAAAACCTCTAATTTCGTGGTCGGGAACATCCATATATCTGCTGTGCATACGGCGTTGTACATACCACGATACTTTATTGAGCTCAGCAATCATAGTTTAAAATAATCAACATTATACACACATTTAATTCAGGGCGTGACATACATGCCTATAGTCTGTTGATGGAGTCAGTGTGTCAACTGAGGAGCCGGTTCTCTAAGAGTCTGTACCTGAAAATAGGCACATGTTACAGTTTTATCAATATTTCAGATTATTTATCACTTTATATATTTCAAGGTATTGTATATTGTGGTGATCTGGAACTTCGAATGCCCGGTACCGAGACATTGTATAATGTGTGCGGTATTTCAACTGTATAGAGAAACCTCTCATTCACCCATAACCCCAATGTCACATGTTTGTATCGGGTGACGAAACAGGTAGAAACTCGTGGCCCAGGAAGCAATATTATCATAACAGAATGATTTGAATCAAAAGAATGTGTAGATAACATTGGTGGAGCATTTTCCTCACCCTGCCTCTCCCATCCGCAACCCAAACTCCTGCAGACACGACCGTTACCTCGTCTACGACCACTGGATTAAACATTACAATTATCTTTGCTGTCCTCTTTAATAATATTAATACTGAAAATGATACTACATTTCTACTAAAAATAATTATAGAGTGATATGGTTTTAGGGCGCTTTTAGCAATATTCCAGGAATATCAACATGGGAACGCAGATAGTGATGATGATGATGATGATGATGATGATTTAACATAAGAAGGTTTAAACATGCTACTGCGACTACTGCTACTGCTACTACTGCTACTACTACTACTACTACTACTACTACTACTACTACTACTATGACCAACAGTAATACAAAAGCTACCAAGTTATAAGAACGATGCATGTCGATTATGTACAGGATTTGCTTCCCAGCTTAACTAGGTTAGGTAATCGGCATTTCCTACAAGAAGTTAACAAAGGGGGGAAAACAGAAAAAAAAACAAGAGGCGTATCCATTTGTCCCGTGAGTTCCTGAACGGTTCCCCAACTTTCCCGGTAGTCCCGGGTGGGCAGCGGGGTGCCGGGTAGGGCGCCCTCGGTGTTTGTCTTGTCACGACTACGGTGCGGGTATTTTTAAACACACGTCAGTTTTGTCAAACACACGGAAGTCATGTGGCGGTCATAACACCCGTCCGTCAGGGATTACAACACAACGAGCAACCGCGAATGTTCCCGAATGTCTACAGGTGCAGTTTTTCAGAGACACGGTCGACTGGTCAGCACGCCTGTCCCGAGTCCACGAGCTGTGATTCGTCATTACTCTCGCTATAGGAATCGATTTCACTGAATCCAGCGTTCCTGAGGAGTATATCATTTCGCGGAGATCGATTTCTCATTATCGATATTATGCGCTTGTCCATAAAAGGCTATCAGTGAGTGAATGTTGATTTACCACGACTCCAAAATAGACGGGGGCTGGCCTATTGCGTTGTGGCGAGGTTGTATTTTCGGTTTAGCGCAGATCGTGTCAGTCAGTGTTGCGTCAATGATGGTAAACGACGTTCTGCTTTCACGGATATCTGGAGCTCATAGTATCAGCTGATGATATGGGTGATGTCAGTTTAAGCGTGTATGGCTGTCAAGTATTAACCTTTGATCTATGTAATCAGTACGCGGTATGTTTAGTTAAACAGCTGTCTGACGTGCCAGATGGTGAAATGTTTATGATGTTTCAATCATATTAATCATAACATTGGTAGACATTGTTCTTGTGTATTCTTTGTCCCAAATAGCTTGATACAAATCTCTGAAAGTAGAGGAACGACTTCGTGGTATGGGCGCAGTGCAATGTGGAGACTGCATTGCGATGATATTCCGCTCAACATTCACTGGGATAATGTGAATTATATATTTCATATTACTTAAACATACATAACACTATGGGTCAGCTGGATTTATTATTGAATAATAGGACTACTTTACATACAGTTGTGCAGTATATGTTTAACTGACAGGTAGAACAGTGCGATGTATTTGAGGGTGGATGTATTACATGGAACTGTCTGTCCTAACGTGTTTTGTAACCTAGGGGCATATCTAGTTTGTTTGTTGAGCTCGCGACCGACAGAATAAAAAATAACGTCTACCTAAAACAGGTATATATACATTATTAAAATAACTTAGAGTCTGTGATTTTATCCGTAGATTATTTTCCTTCGCTCGTTTAAAGGTTTCGTAATATGTCGATATGAACCTTGAACCTTTCCGCCATTATTTTCATACATACCGAAAAGTTCATACACACGACGCCACTCTGTCGTCTTGATGGTTGAATATGTTTTCCAAATACATTGGTATTCCTTTGTGTGTAATTGTATCAAAATTAAGGTTACCAAAATATACGGAATTTCTTCAGACATTTGAAATAGTGAGGGTTTTATCTGACGTTGACGAACACCAGAATTCTGAGTATATCTGAAGTTTAATGAAGACTATGGGATTACAGTATCAAAATACAACGTCATATTGTATGATCCACATATATTGATCCATTCTTATGATACATTGAGTTTCATAATCGACGGCTTTTCATATTTTATTATATATTTTAATCGACCAACTTCTTGTGATATATTATTTTTATATATATTTGGCCGATTCTTATAATACAATGAAGTATATGATATAACTCAGTTGTATATATACAGATTAATACACGAGCAAGTGTGACGGCCTTTCTTAATTGACGTCACGTCACGTTCAATTGTTTAATGACGTCACAGACGACGACATACAGAAGAAGAAAGAAGAAAATATTTTTATTTGTGTGTCACATGTTATATATAAAACATACATAGACTTTAAAACATTCAATAAAATATAACATCCAGTCATATGGCCTATGAGACACAAGGCACTATATTATATCTAAAACAGATGGTAGTAAATAAAATATAGAAACAATAGTTGTTAGGCAAAAGTGATATGAGCACGTGTGCACATGATATATATGACACTGATTATGTTTCACCATAATATGTTATGTTAAACAAATCACTGAATCTTAGTATACGTTATGTTAAACCATTCACTGAATTTTAGTATTATTATATTTTATTTCCTACTGAATCTTATTATGCATACATTAAATTTGATGTTCTAATACCTATTGTTTTGTTTCATTATTTGTCAGGGGTGAATATCATGGCGCAAGAAAACATATCTGACAGCATCTTAAGAGAAACTGCACTGGGCCCTTGTGACTCAACTTCACACTTTCTCAGGAAGATTGAAGATCAAAAGAGCGAGGTGGGATCAACCGGCCCTACCTCCCCTCCCGTCGACGATATGGGCGGGGCCAGCTTGGAGGCGTGGTCACCGTATTCTACTCCACCTCCCCTCAGTTATATGGGCGGGCCCAGCTTGGAGGTGGAGTCACCGTATACTACCCCTCCTCCGCTCAGTCATATGGGCGGGCCCAGCGTGGAGGCGGGGTCACTTCAAACGGAACAGCGTGTGCCCTCGTCTTCTCACGTGCTCTGTGCGGTACGACACAAGGTGATGAGCGAAAGGAGAGCCCGGGGCGAGGCGGACATCAAAGTGGAATTCACCACGCCGGTAAAGCATGAGGTAAAGGGTCAGCATGTGTTATATACATCACTTGCAGTGAGTGTGTAGGCTATGGGAGACCGGGGTCGAGTCTGGAGGTGACAAACCACATCACTACTGACATCGTGTATACCATTGTTGTTGGGGGCTATACAATATTTTATTTGGGGTGGGGGTTAGTTGGTGGGGGGTCCTGGGGTTTCCTGCCCAGTGTGATTGAAATATGTGTGCTGTAGTGAAATTATTTATTGGGTTTTAAGTAAACGTTTCTGCCACATATTCCACGCCACGTGAATATCACCTATGTCGGGGTAAACTTGCACTATATCTTGGAATCACGAGGAAAGACACTAGGTTTCCAGTAGAAAACCATGACAATTACAACTGCCATTAATGCATGCATTTCAAACCGATGCTTCCTCAGCTGACGGAGGAGGAGAAGGAGAAGAAGGCACGGAGGAAGAGGCAGAACAGGGAGGCCCAACACAGGAGTCGGCTGAAGAAGAAGAGTGGCCTGTCTCTGACTGACGCGGTAGGTAACCATTCATCATCACTGGTCTGTGTCACATCACTGGTCTGTGTCACATCACTGGTCTGTGTCGCATCACTGGTCTGTGTCGCATCACTGGTCTGTGTCACATCACTGGTCTGTGTCACATCACTGGTCTGTGTCACATCACGCATCACTGGTCTGTGTCACATCACTGGTCTGTGTCATCACTGGTCTGTGTCACATCACTGGTCTGTGTGGTCTGTGTCACATCACTGGTCTGTGTCACATCACTGGTCTGTGTCGCATCACTGGTCTGTGTCACATCACTGGTCTGTGTCACATCACTGGTCTGTGTCACATCACTGGTCTGTGTCACATCACTGGTCTGTGTCACATCACTGGTCTGTGTCACATCACTGGTCTGTGTCACATCACTGGTCTGTGTCGCATCACTGGTCTGTGTCGCATCACTGGTCTGTGTCACATCACTTGTCTGTGTCACATCACTGGTCTGTGTCACATCACTTGTCTGTGTAACATCACTTGTCTGTGTCACATCCTTTGTCTGTGTCTGTGTCACATCACTGGTCTGTGTCACATCACTGGTCTGTGTCACATCACTGGTCTGTGTCACATCATCTGTGTCACATCACTGGTCTGGTCTGTCTGTGTCACATCACTTGTCTGTGTCACATCACTTGTGTCGCATCTGGTCTGTGTCACATCACTGGTCTGTGTCACATCACTGGTCTGTGTCACATCACTGGTCTGTGTCACATCACTTGTCTGTGTCACATCACTGGTCTGTGTCGCATCACTGGTCTGTGTCGCATCACTGGTCTGTGTCGCATCACTGGTCTGTGTCGCATCACTGGCATCACTTGTCTGTGTCACATCACTGGTCTGTGTCATCATCTGGTCTGTGTCGCATCACTGGTCTGTGTCACATCACTTGTCTGTGTCGCATCACTGGTCTGTGTCGCAAACTCTGTGAAAGGAATTAAAATACATACAATGACTGGCATTTTATCACTGCGTATTATTTGTTCTGGGAGCAGCTTAGGTTCATTTGAAATAATTATTTCTGGGACCATTAGCCGTCGCAACATGAACATACAAATTATCTCGACCCGTCTGACGTACATTCCACCACATAATACACCTCGATCCCTCCCCTCAATCTTGCAGATAGTACCCCGTCAATCTACCCCATATTCAATCCACCTCAATCCACTTCCATGGCGGAAGGTTAGATTTTCTCATGTATATAACTGACTGTTTCAGGAACTGGACAGCTTGATGAAGACCAACTCCGTGCTTCAGGCAGAGGTAGAACAACTCAAACGGACTGTGGAGAATCTCAAGAGAATTGAACAAGAACATATCATGTCTGGCCAGTGTGTTCGTTATCGCCAAGGCTACGTAGGTGAGTGCTCTGACAACCACGGAGACACCCCCCATGCAGGACTTCCTGACCAATACCCAACAGGGCAGGCCACTGGTCACGCCTACAGCCCAATAAGTGACAGCGGTGGTAGTCCCTGCCCTGACCACCAGGTGACCGATATGATGGACAGCCAGTGGATGACGACGGCAAGGAATCTAGAATCCTTCTCCGTTGGACCCCAAGCAAACATGGACGAACCTGGATACCCGGGGTTCAAGGTCGAAGGATGTGACGCTCGGCCCAGTTGCCAGGCAGATCTCTGTAGCCAGATGTACAACAGACAACACTCAGACAGAAGCATGTCGGGTGGGAGCTTACGGGTTGACGCTTGGCTCAATGTCGGCGTCGACAGAGACACTCCAGATATTCCGCACGACAATGTCACCCGTTACTCCACATACCAGGCCAGTGACCACGTGAAACAAGAAGGGGAATGTAGGCCTTTAGGGGAAATTGGCATCCCGTCACTGGACAACATCTCACTGGACCAGCTGATACCAGCGAATATAGATTTATCGAGATATTTCTCCACACAACGCAACTGACAACGTGCCACGTGTATTGTAATTGTGGGAAGTGTCCACGCTCTGTGCCAAAACTGCTGCCCACAATCAGGCTGAGACGTTTGCTTGGTTTGGATGGAAGGATGGCGAAAGCTGAAGTGAGCGTATCTCGTTCCACATACATCTGATTCACCAACACAACACTGACACACGGCTAACTACTGAAGGTACCACGTTGTGTTCAACCTTGAGAACTGACGGACAAAAGAAAGTATACACCCATGGTTGATGGATGCTCAACAAACAACAACTGGCTTGTCTTGGACGAATTGTTTGATACGGGTATTACAGCTGTATTGTGAACCTATTTTCAGCTTCGCAACGCTTTGATAAGGTTTCAAATGTTTTGGTCGTAGCCAATGTTCAAGTGCATACTCTGGTCTGTCTATCATAGCGTAACTAATTCATTTGGTCATTTACACAATAAAAGGTGACTGAATGTTTAATACATTATTCATTTCAGATCACGTTAAATAATGTCTAGAGGAATCAGTACACAAGTTCCTTATTCCTGAGACAAATAGTTTATGAGATTCTAGCTTATGAAAAGCATTAAAATCCAAACTAAGCAAGCCAATCTGATCTCTAATGCTCAGGAATTATTACCACTTAAAAGGTGTCTGCTCAGGAAGCCGACCTTTCGAATTTTATAAGGCTCAATAATAATCTTTATTTGCACGAGGCCACAGGCCTATAGTACATGTATACTGACTACATGTATATTGTTCTTAGGCAGTAGAGAGAACATTTCTCCTGTGGAGAAAGGCATGGTATCAGTTCGTGTGATATATTTGTGTGTCAGGGTGGGACCAGGCGTCTTCCAGGCCGTCGGTGGCTGATGTAGGGGACATGCTGCTGAGATTATTCGACAGAGGATGTGTAATAGCTCACTAGGATATGTATCCTACTTGCTGTATCGTAATCAGTTAGATCATATCCTATATTTTGCTTTGTTTGATGTTTGCCAGCAGTATGAATTTATTCATGTTTTCTCCCATTATTCAGTAGTCGTGTACAGTGAACTCACTACTGAATGACATTTATTCAGCGCTCAAGAGGACACGTGACACCACTGTTGATGCAATATGTAATGTGGAAATACTGACTGAGTTTGTTACTGTGTACATATATTTATTGTGATATTGACCAGATCTCCAAATCACATGACGCTCTGGTTCTGTTGATGACATGATCTCCGTTTGTCGTATCCTCATAAACATGTATTGCGCGATTGCAGCTACGCACGATGTCAAATATACATACTTCCAATAAACCATTGAAAACAGATTATGCACACGATACCATTGTGTTGGCTAAGTGCACCAATGTGGTTCTGGAGAGGACCTGGAAGGGGCGACTGGGGGTGGGGCGGTGTGGGTGGGGTAGCAGAGGGACCCAGGTACTACACCAATGTCTGTATGGGTTGATGAACCTGAGTAGTGAGTGTCAACATAGAGGAGGTACTATTTACATGCCTTGGTTGTCTATTGCTATGTGATGCTGTGATAGCACTCGCGGGTCGGGGATGTTGCTGGCACATACCCGGGGATTATTTTGATATGATTGTTATACTCTTTGATTAAACGATTTTTGTTATTATTGTTTTTATTTGTATTTTGTGAATAACTGCAGTTGTTTAACGCAGTAGTCACTTGTATTCCTGTGTTTTACTGCACCTCAGTGTAATGGAATGTTTTCAAGGTGAAACAGTGACTGATCAGCTGGAGATGAATGTTACCGCGAGGTACGACACAACACAGTCAAACATGGCCGCCCCTTGGGGCCAATGTCACAATGCGCCTGGCCTTCGTCATTGAGAGAAATGTGCAAGGGCTGGTCGGCTCGGAGTCAGTATATACCGTGTCTCACGCACGCTCGCACTCACAGAGACACACGTGCGTGTATGCACGACACTACATCAGTGCAATATTCGCGGCTTCACTTCAGCGGGGAAAAGAAAATAGAAATTGTGTCCAGAAAATATTAAACAATTAATTATTACTTGGAGGTATACGCAAAACGCTGGTTCGTTATAAAAAATACTTAAAAGGAATGTTTATCTGTCTTCCATCCCGAAGGAAGCACCTTCTCGATCAAGTGACAGTGTAACGAGGGATGATGTGCAGCACGTCACGGTGAGGACGTTTGTGAACGAAGTGGACAGAGCTTTACCTTGCTGCTATTTTTATAAATCTATTCTTCCACGTGTTTCGGTCCGGGAAAACCCCATCTATTTAAAGACATGGCGTCAGGTCAAACGGAAGAGAAGCGGCCCCACGCTTCTGGCACGAGTCAGTCAGTTATCTCAGATTTCCGATGAACAGAACACCGAGTTACAATAAAGTCAACATCATGTCGATCACTTCTCATATCAGTAACAAATAAGACACTTTTAGATACCTGAAAGTGAAGTTATTCCAACTTTAACCGCAAAACAATATTTCTGGTGGGCGGGGCGTTTGCGATTTCCCGCGGAATATTCAGGCACCGGATTACCTCCCTTGTTTCATGTTCAGTCATGTTATGACATTAAAGTTTGCAACTCGCCAGCCACATGCATTTAGTCTTTGTACGGATGCTGGACAGCACGAGCGTTTATAGAAATCAAGGAAAGGTAAGTGTAAATATTGTCATATTTTAATACTCCAGGGAGTGTTTGTATGACGATGCAAACTAATTTGATCCAGGTATCAATAATGTCTTGTGCAATTAAAAAAATTTAAATTATTAAACACCTGTTGAAGGAGAATTCTTGAATGCATTATCTTACAATGCAAAATGATTGATGTCATGATATAAGATTACAAACACACAGCTCTTAAAACCGTGATGTCTTGACCGTGATGTCACCCCGATGTTTGTCTCATGGCTTGATGATGCTGTGTTAACTAGTTATGTGGCTTGCTAAGAGAAGATTGTTTCCGAATAGAAACTAAGTCTTTCTCATATGACCAGTAACCTCACCCTTTATATAATCTAACTGAGATTGCCATGTTCTGTGCTCAATCGTGCAAGTACGAGAGTACCGTTATCGGAATTTAGCACATATATTTTGAAAACACGAATACAGCATCAAAATATTTTAATCAAATAATTTATGCGAACCAGTAAATACATTGACAAATTTCTGTAAATAGCATACTTTTTATCTCAAATAAGCACATATCCGTTCTTGTTGCATAATAGTCGAACTGACGGCAGCTATATCTTAAAAAATGTGGGCACATTGTCAATAGTAAACAGAATAAACAAACAATCTAACAAACAAATTTGGCATTTTATGAACATACGGTATCTCAGCAACAGCCCCCCACTAGCAGGCACGGGCCATGATGATGCATAAACTATTTATAGTACTTACCTCAAATGAGGAATGAATTACATTAATCGGAGGACAAAACATAATTCCCCCTTCAGCTGATGCACATCATGCATATAGTTCCGGACATCGTTTACCGTAATATTGTAAGTTTTGTCTTACATAAGAAACAAATACCACGATTGACGTGTTCTATATTTACCCAGACAGAGACACCGAATGTCGCTGATGTTGACGTATATATTGACTGCGAGGTAGGGTGTGGTCGTCAGGGTGGGGGTGGAGGGTGGCAGACCCCGTCAGGGTGGTAAAGCTGGGTGTGATGGACATTTTAGTGCCAGTAGATTGTAAAAAATATGCCGCAACAATTCAATCACGTCCCCCACCTCAAACCACTACCTCCGTTTACTTCCTGCAAACACAATGCTAAATGTTCCTGTAACAGTACTGTCATATTATGGCTTTAAACAATTTTGTATGCTAACTGTTTTTGCGATTATTCAAACAGAATCATTTGTATTTATATCTAACTTATCATTCAAAGAACATTTCCAAGTGATATTTAACAAGTAAACGGGTTTAAATGGCATGTAAAGACAAATAGATGTGTTTCTATGCGAGGTTGGATTAACGCTGGATGTGTTGCACCATCATCAGTACACTTAGCTTTTCAACTTATCAACCTTTGCGTGTTTCTTCAGTTTAAGTCGACGTAAAAAAACAATCAAATATAGTTTATTACGTTTACACCCTTAAATACATGTTATTTACAAATGAAGACTAAACATGCTGTCAAAATAAGTTAACCAGTTACATTAGTCAGTGTTCACTTCCCGTCATGCTATATATAACACAAAACGTGCGTTTAGTCACCGCCTTGTAATTATCATGGCTACTGATGTACATTCTGTATTGTAAATGTAAAGAGAGAGTGAGGTAAATAACTAAAAATGAGAAGATGTGGTGTGCCACGCCTCTCTGGTCTCGCCAGGGAACGTCAGTACGTTGATCCCGTGCTGTTGTCGACACTCACGTACCTGTCAATGTAAAGTGGTCAAAGGGAGGTAACTTGTAGTGAAGGTGCACTCTGCAGTGGACGTCGGGCGCGTTCAACCATTACAACAATGTTGCCACTTAACAACTCTGTCGTGCTTTCCTACAAGTAAAGACAAAGACATATGGATCTGATGGAAATGTAGCTTTATTCCATCTCAAATGAGTGCAGTTATGTCGTGTTATCTGTCAGTCATTAGTGGACACCAAGCTTCCCATCTGTTATGAATACACACTGTCATTCAGAAAGTGGTCAAATACAACAGGGTGCGGCGTAAAACTAAACTCACTCACTCAAATATAACATGTGTTACATTCCCATCTGTTAACATCTTGCTTCCAATCTGTGTACTCCCAGCTTAGCCTCTGGGTGAGTGAGTTAAGTTTTACGCCGCACTCAGTAATATTCCAGCTATAAGGCGCCGGTCTGTAAATAATCGAGTCACGACCAGACAATCCAGTGATCAACAGCATCTATACGCAATTGGGATAGATGACATGTGTCAACCTACCCGTGAAGGTCCGGGTTAGAATATTCATCTTCAGTAACCCATGCTTGTCGTAAGAGGCGACTAACGGGACCGGGTGGTCAGGCTCGCTGACTTGGTTGACACATGTGATCGGTTCCCAATTGCGCATATCGATGCTCATGCTGTTGATCACTGGATTGTCTGGTCCAGACTGGATTATTGACAGACCGCCGCCATATAGCTGGAATATTGCTGAGTGCGGCGTAAAACTAAACTCACTCACTCACGTGTGTCAACCAAGTCAGCGAGCCTGACCACCCGATCCCGTTAGTCGCTTCTTACGTCAAGCATGGGTTACTGAAGATCAATTCTAATCCGGACCTTCACGGGTCTTAGCCTCTGAAAAACACTTAGCTACCCCTCTCTAAACACCTAGCTACCTCTGTGAACACCTATCTTTCCCTCTGTGAACACCTATCTTTCCCTCTGTGAACACCTATCTTTTCCTCTGTGAACACCTATCTTTCCCTCTGTGAACACCGATCTTTTCCCTCGTTGAAGGCCAACTTTTTTTAACACCAATCTTTCCATCCGTGAACACCAAGCTACCCCAGTGTAAACACCTATTATTCCCTCTGTAAACACCTAGCTACTTCTTGGAACACAAATCTTTCCCTCTGTGAACACCTAGCTATCCCTCTGAACACCAATGTTTCCATCTCTGAACACCCATCTTTCGCTTTGTGAACCCCTAGGTACCCCAGTGTAAACACCTATTATTCCCTCTGTGAACACCTAGCTATCCCTCTGTGAACACCAGTCTTTCCGTCTGTGAACACCGATCTTTCGCTTTGTGAACCCATAGCTACCCCTCTGTGAACACTGTAGCTGAAACTAACAGGTGTAGCATCACCACCGTTTTACTCAGTGATATTCAAATGAGACGATCGTTGTTTCAGATGGAGGTTGTGGACAGAAGGCAGGAGGACTATGGCGACTTCCAGGCACCGACGGTCACATTCAGAGACATCTATGACCCCAGATTGGAGCGTGCAATGTCTGTTGCCATGAAAACCAAACAAATAACACCGCTCCTTAAGGAAGAGTTACGCCTGTCAATCTTAACGAAGAGGCTTGCCGAGGGAAAGGAAGACATTCAAGTCAACTTTCCTCAACCCCATTCATATGACGTAAGCACCGACAGCTAACTCAAGTTACATTGTATTATTGCCTTATGGATTAAACAATTATTATGAATGTTATCTTTGTCAATTATATAACAGCATGTCAGTCGAAAACCTCCAAGATAACATCTTACACCTTGTTGACACCATAGTGGGGTGACACTACTTGTCCTTTGTGCAGTTTTATAATTTAGGTCAAGTGAACTGGTTACTTGCAGGGACCAGCAGCCATATTACTGACTGACTCACTGGCTGATATGATATAACTGTATTTCAAGAATATAATACTGGTCATTCCATTCGGCCACTAGTCGTGGAGGACGCCCCAGCACTAACCGTAATTATGACACTTCTGTCTGTTGTTCCAGCTCACCCCGGCAGAGATGGAGAAACGCGAGAAACGGAAGATGCAGAACAAGATCGCCGCGCGCAAACACCGCCTCAAGTCCAAGTCTAAAATGCTGAACATTGTTGAAGTGAGTCACATGCTGTCATATTGATTATATCTTATTTCTTGGTACAGGTTTAAAAGGGCACATGATGGTGACTTGACGGTGGTTATCGTTACTGGACTATACAAATCAGTGGTCGATGGTATGAACACCGAATCTGGGAATGTCCGTGTTATACAGTCATTGTGTTCACGCGGACGCTGCACTGCACATTCACAACCACACAAACAACAGACAAACCAACACTGACAAACAACAGACAAACCAACACTGACAAACATCACAACCGCGTTGTTTACAAAGTAGTGAGTCAGACTGGCCTTTCACAACCGCGTTGTTTACAAACTAGTGAGTGAGACTGACCTTTCACCTCGAATGTCCATTTCAGCTTGTTTTCACGCCTTCAGTCCTGTAACAATTACACATATTAATAAGTCTTTTATTTTTCAGGAGTTGCAAAAACAGGAACAGTTAAAAGAAGAGTTGGAGAAGGAGTACAACAGGTTATTCAACGAGAAACAAGAGATGCTCTGCAACCTCTTGGACCAACACAATGGCGTGGCACTGTCATGTGATCACTGCGAGAACGAGGCTGGACGTGAACCAATCAAATTGTTGCTCAACGTCACAGGCACCATAAACGTGGAATCCAGCTACTTCACAGCCATACAGCTGGGCGGCACAGACGCCCTTGCAAGTCCTCTCACAGATGTCCATTGAATTGGGTCCTCATGACATTAGCCATCTTAATATATATACACACACACACATGCCGTAAAATACCATTCAGGAAACAAGGATAAAAGTGTTAAAGATTAATCTTTTTGTATCGTGACTTGACAAATCCTGGCGTGATGTGGAAGTTGTGTACGTAAAGACGCTGCCGGAGTCGGTGTAGACCACTTATGTTGATGTGTACATACTGACCACGCACATCGTAGCCGTTACTACATCATCCTTCCTACCTTCCCACAAGCTATACAACACGTCAACGTGTACAGTTACACACACCACATAATGTGTACATCGCATGCATTCAAGACGGATGTGTTGTTGCGTTGTGCTTTCATTGTCATATCCATGTATTACATGTTCCATGCTGTCAAATACAGTACGTCTTTATGAGAACATTCCGGTAGAGATCCGGGGCGACCGTTAGTTATTGGTGCACTTCCGTAGAGTGCTGTAAACGTTGGGCCATCATCATCACATCAAGTGAAGTATATGCACTGGTGATGAAGTGTAGCACACACCAACGCGCCGGGTGTAATACGGGTGCATGGTTGTAGTGTACTAGACGTTAAACGCACAGATGATGATTGTTATTGATGAATAAATGTGTTTGTGACATGACATTTGTCGCACTGTTTTACTCCTTGTGTTTCCAGGCCGGTGCAAACAGCCCTCGGCAATAGGGGGTCTACACTGATCGGACCTGCAGTACGAAATTGACGAAATCTAAACAGTAAACCGACAAAACGGGATTTGTAGTTATGTGTTTTTAAACATGACGATACGACGCATGAAGTTGTAGTGTTGAAGTCGACAGCGATGCAGTCACCACGTAGTAAGAAATCCTCGTGGCCAGGCCCAGATCATATCGAACATATTTTGAGATGTCTGAAATTAGAAAAAATTGTATCAAGTATAAAAAAACAAACAAAAATTTAATAAGTTTTAGATTGCACGTTAGTAAAGTAAATTCCATGTGATTATCGATCAACTTAACCTTGGAGCACTTGAGTACAAGGTATGTGTTACATTATTACCTGGCTGCTGCTGAATACATTGGCGCACAACCCCGGTCACACTCAGGTCTTCTATTAGGAATAATTATCGAGCGATAAAGCTGTGGTGGTATGTATATGTATGGGCCGTGTTATTGTCATCAAATGTAAATCAGACAGCGTATACAAAAAAACTCTTAAAAAAATACGGACGAGTTTGAAAATATTTCTGCATGTGCCAGCGGCGTCATTCAGTAACCGCCATTGTATGTACCGCCGATACACCGCGCCCACTGAGTCGAGAAGGATAACATTGTTTTTAACATAAAACAAGTTTTTTCTTCGTCTTTGCTGTTGAGCGTTAGTCCGAATGACGTCAATATGGACCATACATCAGTTCAGTCACCGTCATATCGTATGTCGTAGTTGTAACAATTATTAATGGAGATTCAGAAAAAATGCATATAATCACTGAAAAAAAATGTACATTGGCCTCCCGGAGCAAGTAATCTGCCCCGCACAGGTTTCATTGTGCAGCTGGTTAGATTAGGCTAGATTCCAGACCCAGTTTACAGATGAATACCCTTGAATGAAATGACTAAAGGGAGGCCCGGGCACTGACATGAAATCCGGACATGCATTTTACAGCTCCATATTTTAATAGAGATATTTTGAAACTGATATCTAAACATATATTAAAGTTTCAAATGGGATTAGTCATTCCACGCTACTATTGTTACAAATCTAATCAAACAAGTTAAACCCGTGCACTAGCCTGTCATCGAGTAAAACATATTATATTCATCATAATCATTACCTAATTACACCAGCAACATTGCGTGCAGGAGACTTCTTTATATGCACATAACAAACTGAACGTCTTAATGCGGTGATTTATGAGAAAACGGTCAATGGTGTGTTTTTTTTATCATATTAAGGCATGTCGCACATATCACAACTAATTCAATACGCTCTTTTGTGATTTTTAATCGGCCAACATTTACACGATCAGGAATGCCTCGTAATCTGTGTGGTCGATGGTATTGTCAACTGTTTTTAGACTGTCTACATATTTTCATGTTTTTACCTCCCGGGCGCTTCGTGTGTTTTTTCACATGAAGCTAGTCCATGTTTAGAATGACAGTGCAGTTTCCATGACCAGACTGTCGAATGCAACTGAACGGCCCTCCTCTCTAGACAGGAGGCGGTATGTGACGACACCTAAACGTAGGGACAAAAAACTTGTTTCACAAGGGGATTTATATATACCTTTAATAAAAGTAATTAAAACCTGCTTCTGGAAGTTTAACACTATCAATCCAAAAGGTAGACGGTGATAGTGAAACATGTTGGTCAGGCGGAGCTAGGGGAAGTTAGAATTTAAGCAGACATGTTGTAGTTACGGATTTCCATACAATCTTACGATTACGAAACACAGACAGAGACACCACAAACATGTTCGTCGATGTTTAGTACATAACATACTGTAAACACTGAACAGCATAATGTCAGCCCAACCCATATATAGTCGGAACCTCAACCGTGACAACTGTCATAGTAGCGGTTTGTATAGTAGCCAATAAATGGAAAAGTAGGAAAAGGATTGTGATTCCTGGAACAAGTCCCCCGACATAGTCAGAATAATATGAACAATGCTCTACACCTACCCTTTACATACGGAGTTCGCTAATAACGACGTTTCGACAGTAAATAAACGTAATATCCTATCAAAGCCACGTGGTAACTCTGGTAACGAACAATCTAACAAAAGGCAAACATTTCAGAGAGTTAATTTTAGTAAACCAAATACATGTTGCCAAAATCCTGTTTACACAGAAATTTAGATGCATTTTCTTGGAATCCTATTACTTACTCATCATTTCTATGGGCTTTTCAGATTCCGTAATTCATACAGAACAGAAAATAATTATGAATTCAAATCTAAACATGAAATAAATTGCAGTGCCCAAACACATGTATGTTATATCTACACAGACACACTGAGAACAAACAATTGTTTAGTTGGCTGACGTCAGCTGTGCAGGTCAGGCAGTTCCACACGTGCACTCCTCAGCCTCTCCCTCTCAGTGCCCCTTGGGACAAATTCTCCAACACGTTTTATAAATTACGGGTTACTTATTTTGTTAAACATACACTGGGCAACTAACAACATAACGGGAATGCATATCAAAATATGAAAAATACATTGAACAAAAAATGGAGTGAAAATTACACAGAAACTTGGAATGATATGAATTTTCTTTCCAGTTATCTGTACACCCCAATGTCCCGCCAGATGTAACAGGACTGTTTGACACGGGATGAATGAAGTTATTACAAGTGGTATATTAACACAGAAACAATTCAAAGAAAACAAAATACTGGTCCAATTAATGCGGTATTGGGCACATATTCTACCAGAATTTTATAAATGTAATTATTGGAGACAATTCTATGTGTTCACGGAGACGACAGTGTGAATATTACTGGTGTTTCAAGGCAGCTCTTCCATACAGATCACGAAGCAACCTTTACTAAGGTTAACCTTAACTCCCATTCTTTAACATTTGCACTGGGTTAGCTTAGTGACTTACGATCACCTTAGTGTTGTGTTAAAGGAGGCCCTGAAGGGGAAGCGTTTCGCCGCCGTACAGGAACACATTGAATGCTGGTGTAAGGGAGATAACTCGTGTAGATCCGTTGACTCGTGCCCCTCGCTCCGAAGTCCCTTGTGTCTTTGCGAGGATTAAATATTTTATAAAATACATACACAAATTTGAGATGACCCCCGACTCGAAATGCTTCACAGTATAATACATCATGATGTATAGTACTGTGAAGCATTTTGAGTCAGGGGTCATCTCAAAAACCATATTTTTAATAATTAATCCTCGCAAAGACACGAGGGCCTGTGTCTCGCTCCTGTAATTTGACAGCTATGCAGCGTTGTCCACTTGTGCCTCCGGCCAAACCAGGACACATGGCCGCATTGCTACCCGAATTCAGCGAAGAAAACGAAAAGTTTCCCTGTAACTCCAACTTATCCCAAGTATAATGAACGTGTTAACCACATCTACATCTATATACCTTAGTACTTGTGTACCGGTCATACCGCGTGTCATGGGTCATGCGGCGTTATAGTGCGTGCTTGTTAGGAATATACCATACTTACAGTTTACAATATGTGAGCGAGGAATCCAGGTGGGCGTGGCACATGTAAGTGACAGAGACACTTGATGAGGAACACCACGACACCAACTGCTGCCATGTACCCACGAGATGGTTCACACCATGTACCCACGAGATGGTTCACACCATGTACCCATGAGATGGTTCACACTATGTACCCACGAGATGGTTCACACCATGTACCCACGAGATGGTTCACACTATGTACCCACGAGATGGTTCACACTATGTACCCACGAGAGGGTTCACACCATGTACCCACGAGATGGTTCACACTATGTACCCACGAGATGGTTCACACTATGTACCCATGAGATGGTTCACACTATGTACCCACGAGATGGTTCACACTATGTACCCATGAGATGGTTCACACTATGTACCCACGAGATGGTTCACACTATGTACCCATGAGATGGTTCACACTATGTACACTATGTACTGAGAGGGTTCACACTATGTACCCACGAGATGGTTCACATGTACCCAATGAGAGGGTTCAGATGTACCCATGAGAGGGTTCACACTATGTACCCATGAGATGGTTCACACTATGTACCCATGAGATGGTTCACACTATGTACCCACGAGATGGTTCACACTATGTACCCACGAGATGGTTCACACTATGTACCCATGAGAGGGTTCACACTATGTACCCACGAGAGGGTTCACACTATGTACCCACGAGATGGTTCACACTATGTACCCATGAGATGGTTCACACTATGTTACTATGTACCCATGAGAGGGTTCACACTATGTACCCCCTAATGAGATGGTTCACACTATGTACCCATGAGAGGGTTCACACTATGTACCCACGAGATGGTTCACACTATGTACCCATGAGAGGGTTCACACTATGTACCCATGAGATGGTTCACACTATGTACCCACGAGATGGTTCACACTATGTACCCATGAGAGGGTTCACACTATGTACCCATGAGAGGGTTCACACTATGTACCCATGAGAGGGTTCACACTATGTACCCACGAGATGGTTCACACACCATATGTACCCATGAGAGATGGTTCACACTATGGTTCACACTATACCCATGAGATGGTTCACACTATGTTACCCACGAGATGGTTCACACTATGTACCCATGAGATGGTTCACACTATGTATGTACCCACGAGATGGTTCACTATGTACCCATGAGATGGTTCACACTGCAAAAACCCAATGAGAGGGTCTCACTATGTACCCACGAGATGGTTCACACTATGTACCCACGAGAGGGTTCACACTATGTACCCACGAGAGGGTTCACACTATGTACCCATGAGAGAGATGGTACCCACGAGAGGGTTCACACTATGTACCCATGAGATGGTTCACACTATGTACCCACGAGATGGTTCACACTATGTACCCACGAGAGGGTTCACACTATGTACCCATGAGAGATGGTTCACACACTATGT